CCAAAGGTGTGGGTTTCTATGTTACAAGATCTGTATATTGCCCTGTGTGCCCACCACCCAAAGCCAAATCTTCTCCTGTCACTTTATATTAGGACCCCTTTCTCCCCAACCCTGTTCCCGCTGGCAACCACCACACTGTTTGTGTTCATGACTTCCAGTTTTATATCTCACATATGAGTGAAATCATATGGTTCTTAGCTTTTTTCTTTTTTTATAAATATATTTTATTGATTTTTGTACAGAGAGGAAGGGAGAGAGATTGAGAGTTAGAAACATCAATGAGAGAGAGTCATTGATCAGCTGCCTCTTGTACACCCCCCACTGGGGATATGCCCGCAACCAAGGTACATGCCCTTGACCGGAATCGAACCCGGGGCCCTTCAGTCCCCAAGCCGACGCTCTATCCATTGAGCCAAACCGGTCCCGGCTGGTTCTTAGCTTTTTCTGACTGACTTATTTCACTTAGCATAATGCTCTCAAGGTCCATCCATGTTGTTGCAAGTGGCACTATTTCATCCTTTCTTATGGCCGAGTAGCATATTGTACTGAACTATACTTTAAAGAATAGTGAGAGGCAAAAGTGATACTAGAGGATGGGACACTTGAAAACCCAGGAGAAATTTAGATTTGTGGTAAAATAAATACAGAGCCATTGAAAATTTTGAGCCTCAGAACACAAAAATGTCATGTGAAAAGATGGATCTGGCGGCTGAATGTAGTGTGAGTTAGGGAGGGCACTGATGCTCTTAGAATATCTGCAAATAGGTGAAGCCCAGAACAGGAGAGTGAGAACAGAAAAAGGAAAGGACAAGATCAAGAGACTTTTAATGAAAGAAAAGACAGGACTTGGTGACACATAAACATAAGAAAAGAGGGGGTAAAAGTTACAGCCACAAGAAGTATTTGGGGGATCCTTGTTTTTGTCAGGGGCCTGGTAAAGAAGTTTACTTTACTAATTGAATGTAGAAGTTAGCAAAACACCGCCCTTCTGTGTACTTTGAGATGCTAAGTGAGCATTACATAATTTGCTCTTACTCTTTCTCCAACATCAGGGATCTCTGGTATGTGATTAAGAAGTATCACTTACCAGAGTTGGAATTGAAGCAGCCATGCAGTGGTCTACACTGAAAAACTGAGCTTCATTTTCTATAAATTTTGTTCATTGTTGTATCCCAGAGCCTAATTTATAATTGGAGTATAACATATTTGTTTAAAAATTAGTGGTAGATTCAGATAATGTGGAGTTTTTGTGCTGTATAATAAATTGTCTTTTATCATTACATCCCTTAGAGTGGACAAAGAGAATTCTATCTCAATATCACAAAGTTATTCTCGTAGGAGAAATCATATGCCATTAACTAAACTAGAATTAGTATACCCTAAGTGAACTTTGCACCAAACTGAGCAAAATTCTCTTCATGCTGACACTACTTAGAGCTTCTCCACCTTGCGATATAACCAAATTCCTCTGGAGCCTTAAATGAAAACATTGCTAGTCTTGTAAATATCAACAAAGATTAATCTTTTTGAGATATTATGGGAATTTTTCCAGTCAGAAGCAATCCAACCACAGGATCTCAGAAAAACAAGGGCCCAGGGCTGGTGGGTAACATTTGAGGCTGGAGATGAGGTAGGTCGGGTCGGAACATGACATCTAGAATTTTGCAACAGGAAACCACTGTGGAATTTTTTTAAAGGAATGAGACATGAGATTTAAATTTTAAAAAGTACTTTGTGATAGCTAATTTTGGAGCTTGAACAAGTGTGGAGATGGCAAAAAGTCAACATATGTGAGAGATTGAGAAGCACAAGCATGGCATAGGGATTTCTGGCTTGTGCGGTTGTGGGTGTTGCTGCTGCTCTCTGAAATGAATCTTGGGAGAGGACCAGGAGTTTAGGCAGGAGGGTAGGCTTCAATTCCGTTTTGGACAGTTTGGGTTTGATATGAGAGTCTTTGAGACATTCAGAGCTGTGGGAAAGTAAAGGGAAGCTGGTCCATTTGAGGAGAATTGAAAAGATGGCTGATTTAAAATTAATGTAAGAAAAACCTTTCCTATATTCAAATAACAATTAGAAAATGCAATGAAAGGAGCACTTCCATTCACAATAGTAACAAAAAAAACAAAACATTCAGGAGTAAACCCAATTAGAAATGTGGAAAACTTTTATAAAATACACTAGAACTTCATTTCTCCACAAGGGTCGTAACACAAGTCAGTGGGGAAAGAATAGTCTTTAAAAACAAAATGGCAATGGTAAGATAGTATGTACACATATAATACCTTAATAAAAAATGAAAAGAAAAAATATGGTTTTGCACAATGCATATCCACCTACAAAGAAATGATATGGACCCTTCTTATATCCCACACATAGATCATAGACCTAAATGTCTGTTAAAGAGTAATTTAAGAGTAGAGTAGCTAGAAGCATTAAAAAAGCTGAAAGTATAAAACTCTTAGAAGAAAGTACAGGACTAAATCTTTATGACCTTCGGTAAGGCAGAGCCTTCCTGGACATGATACCAAAGCACAGCAACCAAAGAAAATAGATAAATTGGATCTTATCAAAATTAAAAACTTTGGTGCTTTGAAGAGCAACATCAAGAAAGTAAAAGGACAACCCACAGAATGGGAGAATATTTACAAATCTGATAAGTATATTTTATATTTACTAGATGAAAGGCAAATAATTAGTTAAAAATAGGCAAAAACATCTAAATAGAAATTTCTCCAAAAAGATATATCAGTAGCTAATAACCACATGAAAAGATACTCAAAGTCATTAGAGAAATGCACATTAAAACTACATATATAAAACCACAGAGGCAGATGATAAATATTAGTTGAGGATGCAGAGAAATAAAAAACTCGTAACTGCTGGTGGGAATATAAAGTGGTGCAGGTGTTGTGGGAAACACTGACAGTTCCTCACAGTGTTAAACATACAACTCAGCAACTCCACTCTGTCCACACAGCAACTTGTACAAGCATCATTCACAATAACCGGAGGACAGAAACAACCCAAATGTCCATCTATTGATAAATAGTAAAGAAAATGTGTTTATTCATACAATGGAATACTACTCAGTTATGAGAAGAAATGGATTCATAATACAACATGAACTTTAAAAACATGCTAAGTGAAAAAAGGCAGTTACAAAATACCACATATTATATAATTCAATTTATATGAAATTTCCAGAATAGGCAAATCTACAGAGACCTAGTGATTGCCTTGGACTGGCGAGATTTGAGGTTGAATGAAGAGTGACTGCTAATAGATGGGTATGGGATTTCTTTAGGGGATGATGAAAATGTCCTAAAATTGATTGTGGTGATGGTTGTACAAACCTGTGAGCATACTAAAAACCATTGAATTGTACTGTATATAGATTAAATGGATAAATTGTATATTAATTATATCTTGATAAACCTGTTAAATAAAAATACAGTAAGTAAAAAGTTTGTAGAATATATGTATTATATGGATGTATTTTTTAAATAATATATTTGTAAGTTCATAGCAAAACACTATATTCTTTAAAGTTATCAAAATTGCCCTCTGTGGCTCAGTTGAATAGAGCGTAGTCCCATACACCAAAAGGTCGCAGGTTCAATTCCAGGTCAGAGCACATACCTAGGTTTCAGGTTCAGGCATGTACAAGAGGCAACAAGTTGATGTTTTTCTCTCTCTCTCTCTTCCTCTCTCTCTTCCTCTCTCTAAAATCAATAAGCATATCCTTGGGTGAGGATTTTAAAAAATATCAAAATTTGTGAAGCAATGTAAAAGGGACATCAGTGTATATTTACCCTTGCAATAGTAGCTTTAATCATGTAACTGACCTAGTGTTAAAATTTCTTAATAGTAATTGATACCATGTAATTAATAAGATAACAACAACAGCATTTATTCTACGTGCCAATGTTTTGCTAAACTCTTCATATGTTTTGTTGTTTGTTTTTCACAACACCATGTTTTCTATTGCTCTCCCTTGCTTTCTGTTCTCCAACATATTGAAGTTTACACTTACAAAATTGTATTATTTATCAGAAATGAACAATTTCTTTTGTTCTTAATAATAGCTAAAAAGGTATTTATGTGACCTTGAGCAGTTCTAAGAGCATATTGATAAATCTATCTGTATGTGTTTAAGTAAGATTTTAAGAAATTCGAACTAAAATATTTTATTATTTATTTATTATAGTTGATTCCCAATTGAAGGAGAAAACACTTTTTACGTTATTTTTTTATTATTATTTATTTTAGAGAGGAAGGGAGAGGGAGAGAGAGAAAGAATCATCAATGATAAGAGGGAATCATTGATGGGCTGCCTCCCACACTCCCTACACTGGGAATCGAGCCTGCAAACCCGGGCATGTGCCCTGACTGGGAATCGAACCATGACTTCCTGGTTCATAGGTTGACGCTCAACCACTAAGCCATGCCAGCTGGGTGAGAAAACACTTTTTAGTTACTTGACAGTTTTTTGTTTAATGTAGTATTAAATTTGAAAGGCAATTAGCAAAGATAATTTTTAGAATCTTTTTTTTCATTGTTTATATAGACTGTCTCAGTCAGTTTGGGCTGCTATAACAAAATACCATAGACTAGATGGTTTAAACAATAAACATTTATTGGGTATTTCTCACAGTTCTGGAGACTGGAAAAGCCTAAGATCAAGGTGCCAGCAGAACTGGTTCTTGGTGAGGGGCTTCTCCCTGGCTTGTAGACGTCGTCTTCTGGCTGTACCCTCACATGGAGAGCAAGCTCTGTGGTCCCTTCTTATAGGAACACTGACCCCATTATTAGAGCCCTAATCTCATGACCTCATTGAAACCTAAGCCCCTCCCAAAGGCCCGCATCCAAATGCCATCACATGATGGAAAGGGCTTCAACATGGGAATTGGGTGGTACGGGACAGTTTAGTCCAGAGCAACCAGCTTTGATGAAAACCTTGTTCATAAATGCTAACCCTAGCATTTTTTGTTTGTTTTTAGTATTATGTGCCAAGAACCTTGCAAAGAAGGACTTCTTCAGTAAGTAAACACCCATTTTTGCTCTCTTACAATATTAATATTTTTCACATATTTCTGAAATTTTAAACTCGTTAAAAACACTGGGTGTGTTCTCCTAAAAATTCTTCTCTTACTGGATAGAAATCCATGGTCTGACAAACTTCATTTCCCAATTGACTACAACATAGATTCAGCTCCAAAGCAGAGAATTTATAACTCAACAAGAAAAACTCCCTCGTCCCCTATTTCAGCCACACCCTGTTTTCTCTGTCTTTCCACCCATTAATACATTACTTTCTGCTGAATAAAGTGTTCTCAGTTTAAATACAGATGAGAATTTTTTCTATAAAATAGCCGCAGTTAAGTAAAATTGTTAGTCAAATTTTATAAATTAAATCATATTTTAAAAGTCTTGTAATTAAAGGAATTATGAAAAATAGAGGATCCTTTTCTAAAGAAAGGACTCACCCCTTAATTCAAGAAATTCACCTACTATAAAGTAGGTGTTTGCAGCTTAAAATTCTTCACCTTTTTCCTGATCCTCACAAGGACACTGCTCACTTCAGTTATTCACCCTTTAAGGATGAAGACACGTAGGCTCGCAGGCTTTATTCAAGTAGCTGGGAAGCTCCAGAGCATTGGGTCACATCACGTCTGGCTCTAAAACCTTTACCTTGCCACCACTCTGGTCTTGTAACCTGTCTGATTTATTTAGGACTCGGTGAACACTTGCTTCCAGAGTTAAAATTGACAGTCAGTAAGTAAGATTTTTAAGTATGACTTTTTAGAAAGCATAAATACAATTAATTATAGATATCTTTTCCTTCATTTAATTAGCCCCCCTTAGTTATCATCAAAAATAGGAATTTGAATTTAAGCCTATTTTTTATAGGGTGTGTCTTTTTTCCTAGACTCTAAAAATCTGAGAGTGATGTCATCCCAAGTTTCCATTCTTAGAAAGCTAAATAGATGGAACTGACCTTAAAGTAGAGAATAAAATCAACCAGGGTTAACTAGTTAACCTGTAAGACTGTGTTCTAACATCACACTGATAGATCTGTGGCTGTCCACCCTTCTCCAGGACTCCCCGACCCCTTTGCAAAGATTGTTGTGGATGGATCTGGGCAGTGCCACTCAACGGACACTGTGAAAAACACATTGGACCCAAAGTGGAACCAGCACTATGATCTGTGAGTTGAATATTCTGTAAGCCATTTGGGAGCAGTAGGACAGTAGGTATCCTGCTTTTAAGAGAAGCGTTTCATTTTTTTTTTTTAAGGATTTTTTTTTAAATCCTTTTTTAAAGGATTTAACTTGTTATTGATAACGAAGTATGGCAAATTAATACTGCCTCATTTTAGAATTCATGTACTTGGAAGTTCTTGTGTTAGACATTTTTATATATTTGTGTGGTTTACGTCTCTAACTGTGATCTTCTGAGACTTTTCAATCAACTGGCCCATTCTAGCAGAGAAAAAGGGGGCATAGTTCAGTCTTCTATATACTAATTTTTCAGTGAAACCCTAAATCTGGTTTTAGAATTTTTATTTTAAAAATACATTATCATCATATTTATCTATTATGCAAATACATGTTGTATATATTTCTGTTTATTTTTTTAATTCTGCTTTTTAGTTCAAATATATTTTCTATAAGAGAAAATATAGTTTGATATGATTGAATGTATATAAACCTATGTACCATCAAACAATTTCTTGTATTTGTTCATAAAATGAATTGCACTTTGAAACCCACTATTTTATATGCACTTATGTTTTCATGTTCCTGCTAAGAAATTTTTATCAAAGTAATACTGAATGACTGTTGGGTTTTTTTAGTAACACAAATTAAACTGGGTTTGGATGGGATTTTTAATATTATAGCTGGATTCTAAGGCTCACTTTCAGCGATACTGAGGTGCCATAAGGGGCCTGGAAAGTGATTGTCAATTCTTGTCTTGCAAGCTCCCCACTTTGGTTGACTTGCACTGAGAGTAAGTGGGAGGTTAATGTCTGAATTAGTACCCATTAGTGATTTTTAGATGGATCTACAAGTTTATAGGTGGTCCTCTATTGCAAACTAGTGTTCAGTAGTAAGCCTAACACTAGTAGAGATTTATAATCATGTCACTGAACTTTGGACCTAATAAAATATAGTAAATCTCACCCCAGCCAGTTGGCTCAGTTGGTTGGAGTGTCGTCCCATCCTGTACACCAAAATGGGAATCGAACCTAGGTTGTAGATTCGATTCCCAGTTGGGACTGGAACAGGAGGCAACCAATCGATGATTCTCTCTCTCGCAAATCAATAAACACATCCTCAGATGAGAATTTTAAATAAATAAATATATATGATAAGTCTCTATTAGATTATAACTTTATGTGGTTATCTACATTTGCTTCTTACATAACTGTTATAGTTCTTTTCCCAGCCCATTGAGATTAAAAGACCTATATTTATTGAGTACCTGCCACATGTGGAATGTAGAACCAATATTATTTTTATTTGTTTTAATATATTTTATTGATTTCTTTTACAGAGAGGAAGGGGGAGGAATAGAGAGTTAGAAACATCGATGAGAGAGAAACCAATGAGCTGCCCCCTGCACACCCCCCACTGGGGATGTGCCTGTAACCAAGGTACATGCCCTTGATCAGAATTGAACCTGGGACCCTTCAGTCCACAGGCCCATGCTGTATCCACTGAGCCAAGCCAGTTAAGGCAAGAACCAATATTATTTTTAAAGGATTCTTCTGTGCTAACAAGTCAGTCAGACAAAATCTCAGTGGGCTGTATCATAATTCAGAAATACAATTAAAAGTGAGTTTGTATGTTGTTTTTAGATACGTTGGGAAAACTGATTCTATAACCATCAGCGTGTGGAACCACAAGAAAATTCACAAGAAGCAGGGAGCTGGCTTCTTGGGCTGTGTGCGGCTGCTCTCCAATGCCATCAGCAGATTAAAAGATACCGGATGTAAGAAACAAACGCTTTTCTGCCTCTTCATGCAGCTGAAGGAGGCTTATGAGGCATCTTTTTTGTTTGTTTTTTAATACTGAATACAGAATTCCTGCCTTCCTCCCTAGTTAACATTTCGCTGGGTTAAGTTTTGAATTGTTTGTTTGCAGACCAGCGTTTGGATCTATGCAAACTAAATCCCTCAGATACTGATGCAGTTCGTGGCCAAATAGTGGGTAAGAACTTTCTCATCTGTATAAAGAGATGCTTTTGCTCAACTTAACGTTCAGCTCTCCATCACTGAGGACACACATACAGGCATGGGCATGGTGACATACATCGAAGGACAAACCACTTACGGGGGCCATATCTTCAGCACTAAAAAGTTTCATCTTGTGTAGTTTTGGTTATTTTATCTAATTTATCTCTTCAACCTATCATTCAAAGTTGAGTTAAAATGACTAAGGTACAAAATATAATTTTAAATGTCATTTTAATCATCCCATTAAGGATAATTAATTTGTCATTATATTATCCAGAGGTGGCCACATAATGCAATAGTTGAGAAATGGTTTCTTCAGGAAAACCCATCAAATATGTAAAAAGCAAAGATGATTTCTGAAGACTTCCATGTAATAAGATTTGATAGAGTTAGAGGTTTGAATTATTTAGAATAAACTAATAAATGTGCTAATGTTACCAAGTGTTGACTGGCAGTATTCTCTTGGAAGTGATTTATCTGTTAAGTAGCTCATCATATTATCCAGTGTTTGTCAGCATTTTAGGGTAACTGTGATCTTCTGTGTTTGCTGATTGTATGCATTGCAAGGAATCAAAGAAAATGTAGTACTTCAGCAGCACACCAGAGTGACCCCAAACCTTTTAGGTATTGCCTTGTGTAGGCTTGGCCCAAGGTAAATGAACAGCAGGTGTAGATCCTAAAACTGTCAAAGTGAAAAAGTTCTCACTGAATGCTTTCCTGTTTCTATTTCTTCTTTTCTTTGTGGAAAGATGTGCCGGCGAAATGAATAGCTGGGAGCAGCTTTATAATTGTCTTTGTTGTTCATAGTAGCCACTGAGAATAAATATTTGGATGCATCTAGACTTTACAAATACTAAAAGTGCTATCTGTGTCCTTATTAAACATGTCAAGATCTCCTTAAAGGATAAGGTAACTTAGAGGAAGTGAATATTGTGTTCTGTTCTGTTTATGGAGAGCACTAAAAACACACTACCTCTTTCTGCTCCACGTTTTAAGGAATGTTCCAGGCGGTGTATGGTGGTATGCAGCTACTGGAATAAAATACTTTATGCTTGAAAGCATAAGAATATATGTGTCTCTGTATATGCACATGCCTCGCTTTTAGAAAATAATATTGTGCATAAATTATGCATCTGAAATGGCTCATTGTATTACAATTGTATAAAAACCACTGGGTTTTAATGCATGATGTTCTTTTCTGTTTTTTTAGTCAGTTTACAGACGCGAGACAGAATAGGCACTGGAGGGTCTGTGGTAGACTGCAGAGGACTCTTAGAAAATGAAGGGTACGTATCACCATGGCAATGCCTGCTGAGTTCCCCGCTGCCTTAGGCTCTCGCTCTGTGTGAAAGTGTCCTTCACACCTTTCATTGTGCTGAATGCTTAAGACACTGGAAAGGACTTTGGGATAAAATTGGCATCCAGTCCCCTTATTTGTAAAGTAAGCTGTAAGCTGTAACGACTAGTGGGGTTGTGCCCAAAAGACTCAGGATCCAATTTAAAGAGGTTCCTACTGGCCAAAGATGGAACATCTTGAGCTTCAGTAAGAATTATAACTAATGGATTGAAACACATCAAATATGTTAATAATGAACATTATGTGTTCATAATGACACAGGAAGAGAGAAAAGAACCCTAAAATACTTTTTTTTTAAATACCCTGAAAATTCTCATTGGTTACTATCACAATTTTGCAATTGCCAGTGAATTAATGAAGCTGGTTGATAATTATTAATAATTGTTAGCGACATCGCATAAAAGAGGTAATCTGGCATTGACATACCTCTTGGGAATCGAGGGGACTCCCAAGGGAATGCAACCGGCACCGTCTGGAAGGGGGTGCTCAGTAGAGGGTAGAAGACACAGCCTAGTTCTTCACAAATACATGCTGGGAAAATAAATCACAAGAAAGGAAGAGAGCCCATAAATTCGTAATAAAAGACTTAAACGCATTCCTACTAAATGCAATGTGGGGACCTCGCTTGGATCCTGAAGGAGACAATTGACTGGAAAAGGTGAACACTGTCTATACTTGAAATTTTTAAAAATTAATGTACATTTTTTTAGTCATGAAAATGGAAAAAATCTATCTTCTAGAGGTATGTGCTGAAATATTCACGGGTGAACTAGGAAGTTATTGGGATTGGCTTCAGGCTAATCCCCTGGCGAGGAGGGACGGGAAGGGCAGCCACAGGCTGTCGTTGCTGTGGCAGGAGGAGGAGTCCGGGAGGGTCGTCTCCAAGTTGTGAATATATTTAAAAATTTTCAATGTAAAATGGTGTTTTTTAAGCACTTGCTTATAAGAGAAAATGGCCTATCAAGGTAAATTGTCTTCAAACTTGCTCAGAGGTGGAGATCTATGTTAAAGAGTACTTAGAGTATTTTATGTGACAAGGAGTTTTATGGTAGAGGAAAATAAGAAGTGAAACGGAATGTTTGGACTTGACTTTAAATCAAGAAAAATCAAATTTCATTTCATGTCCAAGGTTGGTTTTTCCAATCACTAGCTTTACCCGAGGATGAAACCCACAAGTGGCTTGGATGGCACTCTACCTATAGCTCTCTTTAGCTACTTATTTCTACAAGTCTTTCTGTTCAACTAGGACAGGATGAATTTTATGAAACTGAGCACTTGGGACACTGTATATTACTCAAGTAAAGCAAAATAAATGGATATGAGAGCACTGCGTCGAGTTTTCAGGGTCTTTCCTCGGCCGTGTGCCCATGCGGGCTGTGCTCTGCCCTCTTTCAGAACCATGTATGAAGACTCCGGGCCTGGAAGGCCACTCAGCTGCTTCATGGAGGAGCCCGCCCCTTACACAGACAGTACTGGTGCTGCTGCTGGTGGGGGGAACTGCAGGTTTGGGGAATCCCCGAGTCAAGATCAAAGGCTTCAGGCACAGCGGCTCCGAAATCCCGAGATCCGAGGGTCCCTCCAGACGCCTCAGAACCGCCCGCATGGCCACCAGTCCCCAGAACTGCCCGAAGGCTACGGTGAGAGAACTCACCCGCTGTTATGTGCATTATCTACAAGGTTTCAGAGAGCTTTAATTTTTTAAACCCTTTTGCCTAACTTGTACATGCCGCAGCTGCTGATGTTGGCAGAGCTGTGCTGTGGGATGGTTGTGTCGGTGTAAAGGCGGGTAACCAGAAAAAGATGGGGATAAATCTTGCTCATCACGAGTTTATCAGCACTATATAACAGTCTCCCAGTTCAGCAATTGTGTGAAAATTTTCAGGCCAAAGAATAGCCAAGAAAATCAGGATGGTGGTGGGTAGATGAGATATTTGTAGTGCTCTGTGATTTGAATATGGAAAGGACAGTATGGGCTAAGATTGGAGAGAAGGGTTCGTTTGACAGCTGAGAACCTAATGCAGGAGGAATGTGATATCGATGTGGCACATCATTACCAAAAGTAAGAACAAATGGGGGCAACAGAGGTCAGGTAAGGTCAGTCCTGGGGTGGTGGATACACAACGGGGGCTGGTCCAGGGCTGACTAAGGAATCAATGTGGAAAAGAAGCTTAGACTCTGTGCTTAGAGGCCTGGTTGAAAAAACTCTTTGGAATTGAATTTAACTAATTGTGCCCCCCGGTTTCTTGCACAGAACAAAGAACAACAGTGCAGGGGCAAGTTTACTTTTTGCACACACAGACTGGAGTGAGCACGTGGCACGACCCCCGAATCCCAAGGTAGGTTTCTAAGACGTGCACCAAAGGCAGATTTCCCGCAGGGGCCGGGGCCCCTGACTGGATGAGAGTCCCTTAGGTTGAAGATGTGAACTTGGAAGAATGGCAGCTCAAACAGATGTCTGCCGGGGTCCTGGGCTCCAGCTCTGGGTCCGAGTCCCAGTGCCACCTGGGAAAACAGCAGCTGCTGGAACCGAGGCTCCTTAGAAAGCAATCCTAGACCTTGAAATCAGATCACATAACCAAAAAAGGCCGCACCCTGGGTTAAATCAAATACGATCTGGCTCGGAAAGCCAATAAGCCCTTCAAGATGTATTCTCATTTTAACTAAGAATATTAATGGATGAAATCATAGGACATCTGGGACTTGGCTTCAAATAATCAGAGTGGGGCAGTGACATAGGGGTATATCTGAAATAGGTTGACAATGACTGGGTAATGTTGAAGTTGGCTATTATGGTTTCTCTACTTTTTTATATGCTTAAAATTTTCCATAATAAAGCATTAAAAGGAAACATAAAGACTATTACCCTTTCTCTCTTCTACTTTACTGTCCCTGTTGCCTCAGTCCCTTGGGGACCATTCCTGGGGGAGATGAAGCTTTACTATACGAATTCCTTCTGCAAGGCCAAACATCTGAGCCCAGGTCAGAGAGACCCCCCTCACCCCTAACAGAGTTATGTTGCTTTGCTTTGCTTTGCTCCCCCCCCCTTTTTTTTTAGAATAGCATTACTACCGAATAACATTTTTAGTAATGCTTATTTCCTTTTTATTCATAATTTGTTTCATCTGAGAACAAGCTTCTTGTCTTTGATTTTCCAAGTCTGTGTTAAATTTCTGATTCAGTGCCTGTAATTAGAGTGGAAATAATACCTGCAAATGGATGAAGTGTCTCGTCAGTACCCACTATAAGAAATGTCAGGCTTTTGTGCTAATTAGAAAAGCATCTTGGTCAGTAGTGCTGTGTTCGCATCTGACTGTGGATTGTGTTGAAATAATTAAGAGGTTGGATTAGAAACAGTTACTTAATAAAGCCAACTAAAAAATGAGAATGCCTCTCCTGGTGCAGCTGTTTAAAATTTCGAGATTTCAAATGCATGTTCATTCATCCTATCAGCTTTACAAAACTTGTGTTGTCTGGGGGCTTTTCGATGAAGCAGCGTTTCTGGCCTTGAGCATTTCATTCACTGTAACTTGTGAGTTCAGATAGTTTTCCGGCAGCATTCAGATCCTTCCTACCGTTTGGCCCTCTGTGGTGTAAGAAGTGATGTTCCCTGGGTAGACCATGTTCCCTCTCATGGTTATAGGCTCTGGAAGTTTCATTGTTATCTGTTGGATTTGCTGCCACTCGCAGCAGAGAGGCCTGGATTCGGTGGGAGTTTGGTGTAAGTAGCACTATGACTGTCCCTCTTAGCAGAACTGGGACATGGCCACACTGATCAGAAAGGGACTCCTGTGGCTCCTCTTGCTGAAGTGTTAGCTTCATGCCTCCATACTCAGATGGACAAACCTCTCTGTGTCTTCCGTTTTGATAGAGACCTTAACAGTGTGAATTGTGATGAACTTGGACCACTGCCACCAGGCTGGGAAGTCAGAAGTACAGTTTCTGGGAGAATATATTTTGTAGATCATAATAACCGAACAACCCAGTTTACAGACCCACGGTTACACCACATCATGAAGTAAGTACAACTTTTACACAATCCTTGTTGACTGCTTACGTTTACCGTTTCATGTTTTCTAATGTTTTTTTTTAATTTATCCTACTGCATTGTTAGTGGAGAAGACACATAAGCCAATATAAGTATTTGGTGGATAGTTGCATGTGTTAAACTCTCAGGTTAGCTATGAGCGCACTGAAGCCGCATCTTGTTGCTGTTGCCACCCTTTTCCTGCCTGCAGCCAAGGCTAAGTTCATGGAGGCGGCAATGTCAGGCAGGTGCTTTAGCGAAGCTTCACACGCAGTGCCATGCTGAAAGGCATGGCTCTTAAGTGAGAAGCGGTAAAATGCCCACTCATCACAGTGTGGAAGGATGGCCACAGTCACTGTGCCACTTGCTGGAGCCTTTTCCTGTGCCTGTCATTTCCGGATAACTAGGGGTTGGGAATTATCTGGCTCCCACTCTGTGCTCCAGGTTTGGCGTGTTCTCACAGCGTGAGCGCCCACGAGGCTCTTCTCACTGACAACTGACATTAGTAGCAAAACTTGAACAAGAGAAATGTCATTTTGTCCCTCTGCTGGTCCTAGTCCTTTTATGTTACTGGAATCTTGCTTTTAATGAGTGAGCTTAATAATCTGTTGTTCTGAAAATGAGGATGGGCTGCCATTAGACTGACATGAGTTGTTTGCTCTTATGCACATTGCCCCTCTCCTCTAGAATCCGTTTTTCCATGTTTCACGTCAACCCCATTTAATTCTAACCGCCAAGGTGCATCTACCTAACAGTGCACCGGTCAGTCTCAGACACATACAAGATGATAAATGATAGCAATGGCTGTTTTTATTTCTAGCAATGAAAATGTATGAGCTCAGCTGATGCTTGGAAGTGGGGTAGCTCCTTTATTGTATCCTAGGCCTATATTTGGGCTAATGGTGGCCACCAGCAATTGTTACATAGCCACGTCATCAGAGACGAAAATGTCTACTTGAAGTTCTATGTAACGAACTCTCTTCTCGGTCCCTTTGGTGTAGGGGGCATTGCTTGCAGCTCCCTTGGCCGCTGCTTTTGGAGTGATTTTGATGCTTCTGTTCTTCTCAAGTCACCAGTGCCAACTAAAGGAGCCCAGCCAGCCGCTGCCGCTGCCCAGTGAGGGCTCGGTGGAAGACGAGGAGCTTCCCGCCCAGAGATACGAGAGAGATTTAGTTCAGAAACTGAAGGTCCTCAGACACGAGCTTTCGCTTCAGCAACCCCAAGCCGGTCATTGCCGCATCGAAGTATCCAGAGAAGAAATATTTGAGGTATGGCATTTAGTGCGGCTGGCAGGCAGGCAGGCAGGCACAGACTCTGCATTCATATTAATAGACAAATGAGGTGATTCAGCCTGAGGAGCCGCCCCCTGAGCACCTTTATCTGCGAGGCGGTGCTCTGAGGGGACTGCTCCGTGAGCGGTTTCTGCATTTCCGTGGGCTCTTCTTTCTGTTTGTCATGTCAGGTATTGAGTTTACTGCTCTGTGAAATGCAGAGTTGTGTCCATGTAGAGAGGGGACTGTATTTACTCCTGTGGTAACAGTTTAAACACACCGATGGTTTCTGAGGTGGAAACCTAGAGATAAATGCAGAGGTGGAATAAAGCCCTTTGCCTACATTGTGCAGATTATATATTCCTGCAATCTTCTGTGTCCTCAGAACCAGTCATTCCTTCTGGCCTCGCAGGAAATGTGATGTAATAGCACAGCCTCCTCAGAGGAGCTCAGTGGCCAAGCAGCCGCTTATCTTCTGGAAACAGGGTGATCAGGTGGTTCCTGGGAAGGTCTCCACCCCTGCGGGATCAGGGTCCCTAACCAGGCGGGACCCTCTTGTGGACAGAGTCCTTTCTCAAGGAACGTGACCATAAGTTGGCATCTCAGCTGTGTTTGGTCCATGGCCTGCCTGCCTTGGTGGAATGCTTGGCAGACATGAGCCAGTGAGAGTGGGTAAGAGCTGGACACAGGTTCTTCGGGGCTGCAGCCCGAGGGCCCAGCACCTCCACAGCGAAGGGCACAGGATGCACCAGGGCCATGTGTGGTCCTCCTGCGCAGCCAGCGCTGGGCGAATGGGGCCGCCCAAGTGCTCAGCTTTGCCCGCTGAGCAGCCTTAAGTGCTTCCAGGGTTAGAGGAGCGGAACTGCTGTCATTTTGATGCCCGATCATTTCCACTCAACCTCCTCTTTCCCTCTTGAGATGGCAGAGTTTGCATTACATTAAAGTTAAAGCATGAAATGGTTTTTAAGTGCCTTATCACTTGAAAATATCTACAAACACTTAGCTGGTTCTACTCAAATGCTGAATCTGAGGGAATATTGGGCTGACCACGTTTTCTGTTTTGGCTATGCTTCCAAAATAAAAACAGGCTCAGAATTCTTTCAATATTCAGACTTTCTAGTGATGTCTTCATTTTGGTTAAAATATGAAGCCTGGCCGGTGGCTCAGTTGTTTGAGCATCATCCCAGGCACCAAAAGGTTGCCAGCTCGATTCCTGATCAGCGCACATGACTGGGTTTCGGGTGTGATCCCCAGTCAGGAGGCATACAGAAGGCAACCGTTCTCTCTCTCCCTCTCTCTAAGATATCCTTGGGTGAGGATGTAAAACACACACACATACATATAAAGTGCTTATAGGACACATTGAAGTTAACTTGTGTAGGGAAGATCAGCTCTACAGAGGACATTTGTTCTGTCGATAGTGATTGTGCTGAAAATAAGTGATTCCGTTAGGTACAGTGTTACCTAGTACACATTTATTTTGTTGTGGTTTCTGAACTAGAAACAGTGGGAGAAAAGTTGATGATACAGGGTGGAGCAAAAGTAGGTTTACAGTTATGAGTATGCAAAACACAGTTTATTATTGTATAATTATTTATTAATTGTATTATTTCCATGCAAACACTATAAACCTACTTTTGCCCACCCTGTAAAAACATATAATACTAAATAGGAACCAGATAGAACTCGGATTTGAACAGATGCTATTTTGAATCAGTCTCCATCTATATATATAAAAGCCTAAGTGTTCGTCCTACCATCCAACCAGTAGCTATGACATGCACTGACCACCAGGAGGCAGACGCTCAGCGCAGGAGCTGCCATGATGCACACTGGCCATTTAGAAAGACATGGTACTGCAGACCTGGTGCCAACAAACCAACACTTGGCTTCCCCCAAGTGGGACACAAGCCCTACCACCACCCCAGAGCAACAGCCCTCCAAATCACAGCCGATGCTACCAAGAACCCATGGTGCAAAATGTGGCCAACAGCCCAGCCCAGCCCAGAAACAGTCACTGTAGTTGCCAGGTAATGACATCACATAGCAACACCGGTTTCCTATCCCTAGCAGCTAGCCTTCTTGGAGTTTTTTCAGCCAAGAAACACAACTTGCTTTATAGCCAGGTGCAAACATTTTACACTTTGACCAAATGTTTGTGAAGCGTTTTCACATGTCTCATCTCATTTGATCCTCACAGAAGTCCTGGAGTAGGTAAATAGGAGACTCATTAGAATCCTATTTTCTTTTCATTAGCTGGAAAATGGGAGATTGAGGAAGTTTAGAAACTTGACCTGACTAAAAAGAAGTAAGAAATGGTAGAACTTGAAAATGACTTCAGGTTTTCTCACTTTGCAGAATATAGTAAAAACTGCTGTAGTTTAATATTTTACCCTTTGTTCTCCCTGTGTGATCTACAATAATAATCTGATTTGTTTTGATATTTACTGCTCTGTTGCTGACAATTACCTGAGAGAGAAGTTGGGGTGCTTCACTGGGCTGGAAAAAGTTTAGCTACATCAGTAAGCAGGTCTAAGTAAGCAAGTTTATTCTATGTATATAAAAGGCTAAGTTGACTTGTGCATGCACAATACATATAAAGCTCTCACTGGCGCCAATTGCATGTGTATGTTTCAGTCTGTCATTGCTGATCATGAATTTGGTTGACACTTCTCTTATAGAGAAAGGGGGAATCGTGATATTAAAATATTTCTTCTAATTAATTTCCCTTCAGTGTGCACGAATACGTGCACCAGGACACTAGTTATCAATAACCTTTCATTTTTTTATTTAAGAAAAGTTCTTCTCTCTAAAACTAATTTTTCTATATAGGAGTCTTATCGCCAGATAATGAAGATGCGACCAAAAGACTTGAAAAAGCGACTAATGGTGAAATTTCGTGGGGAAGAAGGTTTGGATTATGGTGGCGTGGCGAGGTGAGAGGCTAATTTATTCACCCTTTCTGCTGCATGCTTTTCAGCATACCTATAATAAAATACAGTCCTGCATTCCAGAGTAATAAACTCCATACCTGAAATGCCAAACAGAAAGAAGAGCCCACTGAAATGCAGAAACCGCTCACAGCAGTCTCCTCAGAGCACCACCTCACAAAGGCTCTCAGGGGCGGCTCCTCAGGCTGAATCACCTTTTCCTTTACCACACCTCCGCCCTCAGTTCCGAGTCTGTCTGAGGTAGGGGTGTAGGAAAGCCTGCATTTTCTCACCTGAGCTCACATGGGCTGCCTCTCTACAGGTGATACTTCTCAAGATTGCCCCAAGTTTCTTCCTCGATGTAGAAACCATCTTTCTTTTGGCCAGTGTAACGTCTCTTGGCTTTGTAGCACTAATTCCATCTCCGGACTAGAGGCTTAGGCTTCCACTCTCCTTCCCAGATGAGAATCTTCCTTCTCAGTCCTTCATACTTGTCCTAACAATGCAGGTCTGACTGCCTCCACTTTCTTGCCTGTGCTATTTTCCTTATAGTCTCAAGAGTTCAGTATCTCAGACTGTTTCAGTTCACCATTATTTCTTTGCATGGCTGGTATTCTGTATTCCTAGGCACACATGTGAATAGCTTGGTTTGGTTGGTAGTTCTCTTCTGCCTTTTCCAGTTATCAAGTCTCCCGCATGGAGCTAGCTTTGTGTGGCTCCCTTGAGTAACATGGTGCTTGAGGGGAGGTGGGTGTGAACTCTTGCTCTGCCACCTCCAGTTTGATCTCACATTGCAGTTTCACCCCTTGGATTCTTCTCAGGTCCAGATGGGATCATGCCCATCTAGACATGAAGGAGCGATTGGAACTATTGTAGGCACAGGAAGGCAGTGGTTGTTAGACCCGTGGCAACTTCGGTACTTGAGTTCTGACTAGGAAACAATTCAGAGCCAAGACCCAAACTATAAGAGAGCATTTATTTATAAAATCACAGAGGTAGTGGAAGTAATTAATAGAAGAAATGGGCTTAGGAAACAAGTTATAGAGGCAAAGAAAGAGCCCTTGGAGCTTGTAAGTGAGGAAGGCAATGGTAAGAAGCCCTGGGTGGGGGAGGGAAAGGCGAGAGCATGCTGGATCCTCTGTCCTAAGGGTTTTATCGGTGGGGTGGAGAGTTTAGGGAAGCTCCCAGGGGCTATTAATAGGCTGACTACTCAGCAGCTTTCCAGGTGTGTCCATTGAGGTCTCTGCTGACTGATTGGCCAGCACCAGGGAAGGGAGTCAATGCAGCTGGTCCTGAGGTTAGCAGAGGTGTTGCTGGTCTGGTAGTGCTGCTTTTCTGGGCCTGGAGCTGAGGCCTACAGGTTATCTAAGGGAGAAAGGTCAGGGGGTCCAAACCAGCCATATGCTAGAGCAGTGGTCGGCAAACTCATTAGTCAACAGAGCCAAATATCAACAGTTCACTGATTGAAATTTCTTTTGAGAGCCAAATTTTTTAAACTTAAACCTCTTCTAATGCCACTTCTTCAGAATAGACTCACCCAGGCCGTGGTATTTTGTGGAAGAGCCACACTCAAGGGGCCAAAGAGCCGCATGAGGCTCAAGAACTCAGTTTACCAACCACTGTGCCAGGGGAGGAAAGGTCATCCTGGGGACGAGGTCCCACCCTATGACTGTCCTTTGCTAGGCACCAGCGTTTTTCACGTGGTGACCTTCTGTACCTGACCCGTTGTCCTTGTTCTGCTTATATCTAACTGCCTACCACAAAACCGTGTATGTGTGTGTGTGTGTGTGTGTGTGTGTGTGTGTGTGCTCATCATCTACTCACTGAGAATCAGTCTATACTCATCTTCCCAGTGTTTGGTTCTGAACCGTTGCTGTTGTCCCTCTTCTTCCTGTATTGCTTTTCCCTCCCACTTCCAGAACATTCCTAGTATGCCTCTTTCCCTTGGCCCTGGCTTGGTCAGAATGTTTGCTTGTATTTTAATCACTTCCTGTCTAGACGGTTGCAGGTCCCTGGTTTTTATGAAAAAGATTCTTCTCAAACCCAAACTCCCAAACTTGGGGATGAATCAGTGTTGGGAAGTTTTGCCTTTCTAGTCAAGAGACTTTACAAGATTTGGAGTCTCATCCTCCTGGCAGTTGCTTTCTGTTCTTTGGAGTTTGATATATTATTAGCTTTGTTTTGGCTTGGCTGTTTTTATGGATTCTCACCATTCCCTTAGATTATTTGCATTTGCGCTTATTCTTTCCTAGTCTTTCTCAATTGTCTGTCTTTTCTATTTGAAAGAGTAAAGACTTCCAGAATAAAAGTTGGGGCTGCTGTCTTAGTGAGATGTATCTATTTGAAAGGAGTTTGAACAAAAAGAATAAAAGGCCGTGTGTGTGTGTGTGTGTGTGTGTGTGTGTGTGTGTGTAGAACTGCCACAGGTGTTCGTATAAGGTTCCCCATATCTGGGCTTCTCACTGCCCAGAAGTAGTAAATCATACAACTTCTATTCAGAGTGCTCTTTAAATTTTGATTTGTTTTTCATAGCAAAATAACTCAAACATCAAGGGTTTCAGAGAATAATTCATTCTTATAAACCCCATCCAGATTTTTAGTTTTTAAGATTATAAACATGATGTTTATGCAAAAAAATTCACCAGAAACTTATGGAAGAGGAAAGTCAGTCTTAAACAATCCCTGCCTCTCTAAGTTGTGACATATTTTATTCTTATGTAAATGTTATTACCTCTTACAATTGATCAGAAATTTAAAAACTAGAAAGCACAAGAAATGAAATGCCCCAGAATGCTAGTTCTCAGGTCAACCACTGTCCCCGGTTGGTATAAGCCCTTCCTGCCTTCCTGTGCCCCGCATATACATCTGTGCTTTGTGTGTGCGTGTGTGTATGTACACACACTCTTTCAATACAAATAGGATCATACTCCTCTTTACTGCTCTTCTGTCAGTTATTACTGCACCATTAACGCCATCACTGGAGGCTCTGATCTTGCAGAGCAGCAGAGAAACCCCAGCTCAGGGCCAGGAACATTGGCCAGTGAGCAGCTTAAAGACCGGACGTGGAAGGTGGTAGCCATTCTTTTCATGTAGTCCCACTTCAGGGTCCTCGATTTAATTCTAGCTCAGAGTTTCTGTTGCTATGGGAGATGCTGGGATTCGGATGTGGCATTTTGGGGGCCACAATTTAGGCCGGCACACGTCCTTCATGAGACCTTCTCTACAGAGTGTGTCAACCACAGTTCTTTCAGAGTAGTTGGCATTTGGGCCAGAAAAGCCATTTCTGAGACTATCAGAACAAGTGTTTACGTCTGTGGGCTTGTTTTCCCAAATTTACAGATCACATTCTCACAGCCAGGTAGGGGACCAGTTTTGGCCTCTAGGGGTTCCGTCCTTTGTTATGACCTAAAACTAGGAGTGTTAGCACATATAACATGTTTTAGTGTCTGTTGTTATTGCTTTTATCCCTAGGGAGTGGCTTTATTTATTGTGCCACGAAATGCTGAATCCATATTATGGGCTTTTCCAATACTCTACGGACAACATTTACATGTTGCAAATCAACCCAGATTCCTCCATCAACCCTGTAAGTATTAATGAGTGAATAAGCAAGAAATTAAGTTGGAGAATTTTTAAAATGGATTTTCATTTCCATCTCAATTTTGGATTTATACACTGTAGTCTTACTCAAGTTCTATGGTAATAAAAGGTAGAGTGAGAACTGGATTAAGATGGGTGATTTCAGTCCTGTGCCTCTGTGGCTGCGCCCACTTGCGGTGCTGTTTTCAAGGACAAGAGGGACCAAGTTGCTCATATACTCAGCACTCTGTTGCCATGGGAGGGCGCATTTGTTGGCAGTGTCATTCTGAGAAGTGAGTTACGAAGTCTGCCCTCCTTCCAAAGTTGGAACATTCCCATAAGTGGCCTTTTTGGCACCGGTGCTGACACCTTAGTTCTTGTTTTAGAGAAGAGTGGCTGCCTCAAGGCTGGACTCCCTGTGGGGCTGCATCCTGCCTCGGCGCCCCACGTGCACAGCCCGCGCAGTCCGGGGCCCGCGCCCCTCTGCAGGCATCGGCGTGACCACCTTTCACCAACGTGGAAACTGAGTTTGACTAATTATCTGAGTATGATTCCAACCTGAATGTAGAAATGTGAGCTTTCCTTTTTAGTTAAAAACCAGACAGCTCTGGTTGTAAAATGGTTCTTTCACTGGGGTATTCATACCTCTTTTCCTCTGTGTTCTTTCTGTTTTTCTTATTTTTTGTGTGACTGGGGAGACATGGCAGAGGAAGAGGGGGAGTTGTCCTTTGCTCTTTGTTTCTCTTTGGCTCAATGGGAAGAAGTGTAGCTGTGACCTGTCCAGCGCTCAGAGCCTGCTCACAGAAGGACCCATGTTCGCTTTGAATCTCTGCTGTTGCCGTGCTGGAATTCTTAATATTTTCTAATAAGGGGCTCTGCATTTTCATTTTGCACTGGGTCCCACAGATCATGCAGCAATTCTGAGGAAATGTGTTGAACAAAGAGCAAATAAAATGTTCCAGTGATCTATACAAAAGACGTGCGCTCGGTTTTCACTAACCAAGCAGCCGTCTTCATTTGGCACGAGCACAGTCTGGGAGTCCCTGACCCGGTGTTGCTGCCTGTGGGACAGTTCTCCAAGAAGCTAGAGCAATCACAGGATAATCACCTGGACTCTTTTTAAGTGGATTTATGTTCTCTGGTGCCCCCTACAGGACCACTTGTCTTATTTCCATTTTGTTGGTCGAATCATGGGTCTGGCTGTGTTCCATGGACACTACATAAACGGGGGTTTCACAGTCCCCTTCTATAAGCAGCTACTGGGGAAACCCATCCAGCTCTCTGATTTGGAATCGGTGGATCCAGAACTACATAAGAGCTTAGTGTGGATTCTGTAAGTATTGATTCACTGTTCAGTTCATTGAACATTCATATATAGCCACTTGTCTTAGTGTACGCCCAATACATTTGTGTATGTGAGAGAGTGTGAGTGAGTGTGTGAGTGAGTGTGTGTGTGTGTGTATTTTGGGGATGAGTGTGAAATTTGAGAAGAGAAATAAACTACTGTTTTATGACCAGAAATATAAAAGTAGCCCAGCTAGTGTGGTTCATTCAGAGAGTGGAGGACGCCTCTGGAGCTGGAGCTGCCCCCTGGAGCGCGCCCTGGCCTGGCAGCAGTGATGCGCCCCCTCCCAGCGGCTCCCTGGACGCTCCATGCGCAGCTGCGGGGGGTGAAGTCTGACGGACACCTCTCCGTCCTGACAGAGAGAACGACATCACCCCGGTGCTGGACCACACTTTCTGTGTGGAGCACAACGCCTTCGGGAGGATCCTCCAGCACGAGCTGAAGCCCAACGGCAGGAACGTGCCCGTCACTGAGGAGAACAAGAAGGAATACGTCCGGTAACGTGCTGGGCCCGGCGCGCGGTGGGGGCGCCAGGTGCCCGGCCGCCCGGGGCGTGGCTGGGGCGTGGCTGGGGCGTGGCTGGGGCGTGGCTGGCTGTGGAGGCTCCTTTGCTGCGTGAGGTTTGCTGTCCCGCTGGCGGTGATCAGAATCACGGCACAGAAGAGACTTCCCAACGTGGGGTTCAGCAGTAGGCGCTCTTCCTGGGGAGTCCTGGTGACGGGAGATGATGACCCCAGGACCCCAGAGCGGAAGAGTGAGGCCACCACCCACGCCTGCGTGTGGAGGCGCCCAGGAGGGAGGAGGAAGCCCGGCCGTCCCTGAGATCAGTCTCCTCCATTGCAGTCTGTTCTCCCACCTCTTCGGGCAAATGAACGACTAGGCAGCTTAGAAACAGGGGCATTTCGCTCTGGCCAGTATTCTCGGGGGTTAGACGTCAGCCCATGCACCGAAGGGTCACAGGTTCAATTCCCAGTCAGGGACACGTACCTGGGATGCAGGTTTGATCCCTGGCCCTGCTCAGGGTGCATGTGGGAGGCAGCCAGTTGATGTCTCTCTCTCACACCAATGCTTCTCTCTCTCTTAGATAGATAGATATGATATAGATATCCCTTTCACCCCCTTCCTCTAAAAATCAAGGGAAAAAATGTCCTCAGGTGAGGACTGACAAAAAAATAGAAACATGGGCATCTCTGTGCTCCAGCTGTCAGACTGGTATTTAGTTCCAACCCCGGGACCACCTGGTGGCGCCTGCTGGGCGCATCCTGCACTTTATTTCCGAGTGCACTTCAAATTGTGCCCTGGCCCGGGCCAGGGTGAACCTGCTGCTGTTCCCAGCAGTGACGCAGCGCGTGCCAGGCCGTGCGTGGCTTATGTGAACCTGTAACGTAGGTCAGGCTTCCATCTGGGCTGTCAGGACGGCCAGGTGGCAAGGTGTGAGACAGCAGATGTCAGAACCTGCTCCTGGGGAAAGTCTTTTCATGATCCATTGGGATTGCTGCCAACCTGTGCCTTTTTCTTCCAGGCTGTACGTAAATTGGAGGTTTATGAGAGGAATCGAAGCCCAGTTCTTGGCTCTCCAGAAGGGGTTTAACGAGCTCATTCCTCAGCACTTACTGAAGCCCTTCGACCAGAAGGAACTGGAGGTGCGGCTCCCCTCGCCGGGCCGGGCCGGGCTGACGGCAGGGGCCCGGGGAGCAGAGGGCTGGCCCGAAGGGCCGGGAGGGTGCTTGAGCCGGTTGGGAGGCCAGGTGCTTACACAGTGACAGTGAGTCGGACCCGGGGGCCTGTTCGTGGTGCTCTGTGGCTTGTCAGGTCCGTAGCAGGCAGAGTCCCCGCCTCCTGAGCAGTGAGGCCCTCAGAGCCAGGAAGCTGTCTCGTTGCTGCCAGCTTCTCCCGCTCGTCAGGGTTTGCTATTGCTAGACTCGGACCACGGCTTACTGTCTCCTGCTCGTGCTTCATGTACCTGAGCACAGCAAGGCCTTCATCTCTTACCGTCTGTTTGGTGCCACTGGCTCCAGGCTTTAAAGTGATTCTCGCCTCTGCCCAGTGGGTGCAGGGAGCAGCCTCCCGGCGAGCAGCTGCGGAGAGGACCTTACCAGCAGGTGGCAGAACCGCACACCCTCCTTCCGCCCCTCAGGCCTCAGCTGCCCATGTCACTGCCTGATGGTCACTGGGACGTGGCCCGTCCTGCACCCAGCTCCAGGCAGTCTTGCCAGTGGTTCTTGCTCCTCCCGTGCTCCCCGGGCAGCACAGAACTGCACCCCACAGCGGGGAGAACGCCCATCAGGAGCCGCCAGGTGGTCCCGGGGCTGGGAGACCAGCCGGACAGGGCAGGGGCGTCCCGTTGGTCCATTTCTGTTCTTGTCTAAACGTGTGTCTGGTTTATTTGGACATGGCTGCTTCTTTGCACTGGGAACCAACCTTAACGCCTTTCCTGTGCTGGGACCGTGGAGTCATTTAGAAATGACCACCTCTGGCCTTCCAGCTGATCATCGGTGGCCTGGACAAGATAGACCTGAGCGACTGGAAGTCCAACACGCGGCTGAAGCACTGCGCGGCCGACAGCAACATCGTCCGGTGGTTCTGGCAGGCGGTGGAGACCTTTGACGAGGAGAGGAGGGCCCGGCTCCTGCAGTTCGTGACGGGGTCCACCCGCGTCCCCCTCCAAGGCTTCAAGGCTCTGCAAGGTGACTGACGTGGAGGCGGGGCTGGTGGCAGCATGTGGACAGGCACTGGAGTGGGGAGGGCTTGGCTCCTGAGATGCCTGCTGGGAAGCTGTGTGGCCTGCGGGCTCTCGTAGCCAGTGGTCAGCCGGCCCAGGGGCTCACCCGGCTGAGGGACACTCTCTCTCCCCCAGAGGCGGGCTCTGGGTTGCTGTCCTTCCCCACGCTGAAAGAAAATACCATAAAGAGCAGGAGAGGCCGTCAGCAAAACACAGCCCAGCTCTCACCTGTCCGGCCCCGCGAGCCGGCACTCCGCGGGTGGGCGGGCCTGTGGCCCAGTCTGTGGGCAGCAGCACTCGCTCAGGACGGCGCGGGAGCCGATGCCCCCTCCCCTACAGGACTGACTGGCAGGGAGGGCACAAAGCATGGTTTGGGGGAAAGAGCGGTTTGAAGTACAGGACGGATTCATTAGGGACAGGAGCGAGGGCCCGGCCTGCACACCAGCAGACCGAGCCATGTGGTCGTTAGCTCCCGGCCCCGGGCCCGGCCCCCGGTCCTTGAGCTGCACACGTGCACTGTCTGGGCAGCTCCAGGCCGGGAGCTGCCTGCTCTCGTCCGTCCGGTTCACCCCATCAGAGTGGCCGCGGAGGGAGGGAGGAGCGGCTGTGGACGGCGGGTCTGTGCCTCGGGGAAGGTTTCGGGGCTCGCAGTCAGCACAAGCACTGGGGAAGGTCCTCACAGGCTGTCCCTGGGATTTGTATGATTGTAGATTTTTGTCACTCAATAATCCCGATAGCCAGAAGGATTAAAGAAAAGAATATAATAAAGTTTAGAAAATTGACCTTTGCATATTAATAGTGACAGCAGATATATTCCATTTATAAGACATTCTCTGCACTTCCCCTGTTTTAAGGGTTTCTGAGTGAGAGCAGTTACTTCCAGTCCCAGGGCTTAGGTCCCCGGCCGTGTCTGTTCCTTCTCCACCTCCCTCTGCCCTCTGCCGGGAGCTGTCCTGGCTGTGTCCTGCTCTCACACTGCTGCCTCTGCAGTGGTCACTCCCCGCTCCCCCACCACTCACAACCAGGGGCCTGCTTGCTGAACTTCCTGTGGAAAGGGAATCCCTGTGATTGGGGATGTTGTCCTTCAATGCCGCCTGGGGCTTTGGGGCTCTCCCAGGCTGTGCTCCGTACCTGGCGTTAGTCACCGGGTGGCCGGGCAGGTGCCCGGGGCCCTGACCAGGGAGGACAGCCGCCTGGGCGGACACGGCGGAGGGTCCAGCTCAGCCTCCGAAGCGCAGTAACTAGAATGTTGTCTGTAAGGTTCTACAGGCGCCGCAGGGCCCCGGCTCTTCACCATCCACCTCATCGACGCCAACACAGACAACCTGCCGAAGGCCCACACCTGGTAAGGACAGCTCCTCGGCCCGCCGCTCTCCTGTGCCTCACAGCACTCGCTTTGGGTCGAGTCCCAGGTATCCAGCACTCAGCAGCAGCCACCTGCGAGGGCCATCGGAAGGCTCTCTGTGAGGCCAGTTCTGTCGGGAGAGGTGATGTTGGCTGTGACTCCGACGGGCTCCCGTCTGCCCTTCTGGGTCTCGCGACGTGTGTGTGTGTGTGTGTGTGTGTGCGCGCACTTGCGTGTGCACACGTGTGCCTTCAGCAGGGTGCGTGCAGCCTTTAAGTGGGGCTCACTAGTTCTCCCTTAGCTGACCTTCTTGGGCCCCACATCCCGCTCAGAGCTCTGTCCCTGTGACGCACCTGCCTACTGAAAACTCACCTCAACACGAACCTCACTTGTGAGGGTTCTTCCCTTTGTGGTTTAAAATCAAAGGAGCAGCCATGCGGGGTCAGGAGAACCAGTCCCACATGTGGCTGCCTCGTTCGTGCCGGCAGGATCGGGCCCGGGAGCCCAGGACGCGTGTTCAGGTGCTGGTGACCCTGTGCCTTCGGGCGGGTTCCGTGTGCACTGGGCTCCCACGTGTGCAAAGCGGCTGTGAGAGCTGCGCCTGCCAGGCTGAGGGCGCTGCGCCCGGGCAGGGGCAGGACGGCGGTGCACGCTCCTCCGCGGGGCCCTCCCTTTGACAGCGTGGTGCTTGGAGTGACCCGGGAATGAGAATCTCTGATGCTGAGGCTCCCAAAGAAAGGCCCGACACCACTCACACCCCCTTACAAAAGCCACTCTCAGTTCTTGGCCCTTCGTGACTCAATAGGCCACTGTGTCCTCTGGTCACAGTTTGCATTTTTTATTTGTTGAGATTATAGCTACTTTGGAGGCGTCTTTTTTTCTTTCTTTCTTTTCACAAACATTGGAAATGGATTTCCCCGTAGAAATACTGAGTTAGAAATGTAAGACTCATTTGAGCCGTCAGAGATTTGACATTAATAGTTTTGCAGGGGATTTTCCAGACGGCCCATCGGGGGCTGTGTGGTTGCCGAGGAGAAGACGTGCATAGGTCGTTAGTGGCGATCGGTGTGACTGCGGCCACGGCGCTGGTCCAGGCCCCGCGGCATTCCTCCCCGACACACAGCAGACAGGGCCAGTTGAGAGCTTGTCCTGCTGTCCCCAGGAAATACTTAGTTTTACTTTGGTTTTAAAGATCTTCAGATTTATTTTGCCGTGTATGTGTGTGTGTAATATATATTTTATTTATTTCAGAGAGGAAGGGAGAGGGAGTGAGAAAACACCAGCAATGAGAGAATCATTGGCCGGCTGCCTCCCGCACGCCCCCTGCTGGGAGTGAGCCTGCAGCCCAGCATGTGCCCTGGTGGGGAACTGAGCCATGACTTCCTGTGTCATAGATTCTCCCTCAACCACTGAGCCACCCAGCCAGGCTGCTGTGTGTTGATTTTTAAATATTTGCATTAAGATGAAGAGTACAAAGGAGAAGTGTCCACTCACCACTGCCCCCGCCCCTCAGAACCAGGGAACAGGGCCTCCCCCCTCCCCCCGCCACGGAGCCGCACAGCCGCTGGCGGCGGGGGCTCTGTCCTGCCCCTGCAGCAGGACCAGCCAGACTCTGCCAGCAGTGACTCTCGCCCTTTTGTCCTGTTCCAGCTTTAACCGGATCGACATTCCACCTTATGAGTCTTACGAAAAGCTCTACGAGAAGCTGCTGGTAGCGGTGGAAGAGACCTGTGGGTTCGCTGTGGAGTGAAGAGCAGCCAAAGGCCACAGATTCTAGCTCACGGCCACCAGGCCAAAGCCTCCGCTCGGCGCCGCCTGGAGCGGCCGAGGCGCTGGTTCCAGAGGCCCCGGGAGGGCCCGCGCTGTTGGAGCGAGGGCAGGGGACTTTGGCTCATGGCTCTCACCCCCTCTCCTCCTTACGACAGTACTCCCACCCTCCATCGCCATCCAATAAAACGCAGCCAGCTTTAGATCTGGCTTCGCTCACACAGGATGCTCTGCTCCGGTTGTAACATCCGGCCGTAGGCTCACTGCCCTGTGGTCTTTGCAGGAGGCTCTACCGAGTCATGAACTGAGCTCAGCCTTCTGAGCGTTTGGAACTGGTAGCTACGCTGGCGATTCTGTCAGGACAGTCCTGAGGCCGCTTTCCAAAGTCCAAATTTCACTTCCTGGCAGCCTGCTCTGGGTCGAAGATTAACCTCCCCCTGAAAACTTACTGCAAATACACGCTCACCGGATCTGCCACGGCAGGAGCTTCCGTCCTAAGCGTGCAGGGCAGCGTTAGCTGGGGGCCAGGGCTTTTCTTTCCAGCACGTCCTGGTTGAAATTTTTGTTCTGCGTAGAGAAAAGTGATCTTTCCTTTTAAGAGTCCTTTTCGCCACATTATCTACCCAGTTTGAAATACTTTCCCAGCGGAAATACCCCAGGACAGAGCTCCCGCACCACAGGGCTCAGCGGGCCACTCGGACACTAACACACTATTCTGCGGAAAGTGCTAACAGCTACGCTAATAAAACAAAATTCTGTTCTGATAGCTGCTGGTTTGGTGCAAACTAGCTTAAAAGGGAGAGAGGGAACAGGTAACCTCAATGACCGAACTCCACCCCAAGTTACTATTTTACAGAAAGAGGTGTGGGTGGCCCTGACGGCAGAGGGAGGTGAGGTGGTGCCGCTGACAAGTGCTACTTGGTTTGCGCGCCCTGATGTCTTCATGTGACGAGCAAGGCCAGAGCACGCCGAGACCCTCCTGCTGGCCCCGCTCCAGTTGGCACAGACGGGCAGCGTGTGACAGCAGCTGGGCTCCAGAGAGCTCAGATCGCGGGGAACAGCAGCAGCCACAGGTTTTTCCGTCCGGCGTTTTGTTTTGTTTAGGGGCAAGTACAGGGTCATTCATTAGCGAGACGTTTCACTGTTGAGACTTGGCTGCTGAGGCTTCTGACTCAGCCGTTGGTCAGGTGGGTTGGAAGGAGCGTTTGCCAGCTGTCCCGCCGTCTGGTGTCACTGACGCTGGACCGCGGCGGGTGGAGGCACACCAGCTTCTCATCTCACTGGGTCCCGGGCTTGCCTGGAAGCAGCCTGTCATTTGGCATGGGGGTGCTCAGCGCTCGCCCTGCACAGAGGTTCATCCAGTCTGTGGGCACGACTGCCAGCTGTGGACTCTGAGAGCTGAGCCCTGGGCTACTTCCTGGGGCTCGGAGAGAAGGGATGTCACGTGTGACTTGGCGTAGAAGGAAAACGTCGTCCAGCCACTGAGCCCCGGCCGAACTGTGGCTTTGTCTCCAGGAGTCCCGCCGGGTCCCAGTGGGGCCTGTCCGGTGCCTCATTTCCCCCGATGCTGAGGGCCTCCTAGGCGCTCAGTGACCCCGTCCGGCCTCGTCATCTTCCGGGAGGAGGAGGGAGCGGGAGGGACAGACCTCCCACCAGGTAGGTCCTCCCCCGGAACCTGCCCGGTGGGAGAGGAGAGGACAGCCGAGCCCGCAGTGCTTGGGCAGGAAGTGAGGGTGCAGAGGTGGGAAGGACTTGGCAGCAGGAAGGTTGCATTTGACCATGTGTGACCGCCTTCCTGCCGTCGGGAGGAGCCGGGAACACCCTCCACATCGGCCCCTGCCGGCCCGCCTGTTCCCGCCGGTCAGGTGTCTCCCCAGCGAGATCCAAAGGTCACGTCTGGTCCTCCGGGAGCTGCCTGGGACACGAGTCACCGCCCATAAGGCCTGGGTCTCTGCTTTTGCACTTAACTTGCCCGTGGGCCCCTCATCAGCCGAGTGTTACGAGGAGCCTGAAAAGCAGACCTTCCCAGCGCTCCAGTTTACTCTTGCCAACAGGCCTGCCTGTGCGCAGCATTGCACTCCTAGAACCTTAAACACTGACGATGGTTTGGGCCTTCCGAACCACCCCAAAGAGCAGCGTAGCGAGCAATGGTAAAAGCTCCGGACTGCACTGGTCTCAGGAGCCCCTGCACACGCCCGCTCTCCCCTGTCCTCTCGGGAACCCCGAGGCCACCCGTCCCGCACCTCTGCCCATGCTCCGCCCTCACCAGCCGTCAGCAGCCCCCCCTCAGGGATGTAGCAGACCACCCTCTGCCAGCGCTTTAGGCGGGAAGCGAAGGGCTGCTGTGGGGAGCACCCGCCTGCCGAGGGGCTGTGGCCCCTGGGTCCACGTTCAGGGCGATGGTCCCCGGAGCTGAGCTGCCGGGAGGGGCCTGTGCCAAGAACAGGCCGCCCCACCCTGCAGCCGGGTGCCCCCCACGGCAGCCTTCCCGAAACATAGTATGAATTTTTAAAATTCGTTTATTTTTGTTTCTCAACCACTTTATAATGTATTTAATTTATTTTGTAATGTCTTGTTTTTAAGTATTGCTGCTATCCTTGTTATTCTTCCCACTGTTTTTATTGCTGATTTATTTTGTGAAAGTTGTACACTAATGTTCTGTTTTATGTCAAAATCAAAAGTATTTAAAGAAATACTAGTTCTATTTAATGTGGTTACGGAACCAGCTGGAAACAAGAGACAAACAGCGACTGTACAGCAGGCTGGACCAGGAGGGGAGGTCATTTTGTTACATATGCAATAAACTCACGACTTTACACGACGGGCATCTGTTGTTTTGCTGTGGAAACGAGGTCCTGGTCTCCAAGCAGGCGGTCAGCGGACAGAGTCCGGGAGGGCCTGCGAAGGGCGCTGGGCCGCGCTGAGGGCTCCGGCGGGCGCGGCCAAGCGTCCGGGCTGTTGACTTCTCTCTCACAGCTGGTCATGCTGGTTGGTTTGGGTTTTTATTTTTATTTTTAATATATTTTATCACAGTAAACTATGCATCACATAATATTTATCAATTTAACCATAAGTTCATGAATATATGGCCCAGTGACATTACTCACATGTCACAGGATCGTGTAACGGTCACACACCTTCCCTTTCCTCTTTATTGAATTCACTGGGGTGGCACTGGTTACTTATACAGGTTAAGGTGCACAATTCTACAACACGTCCCCTGCGCCGTGCATTGTGTGTGCACCGCCGAGTCAAGTCTCCATCACCATTTGTCCCCACATGCCCTCCTCCTCCTCCTCTCCCTCCCCCAGCAGTCATCCTACTGCTGTCAGTGCCCATGAGTTGTTGTTTTTTCTTAATCTCCCCACCTCCGACCCTAAAACCTTTCTTTTCAAACTGGAACTGCGCCCATCACCAATAACTCCCTCCCTTCCTCTCCCCAAGCCTAGGTAACTTCTATCTACTTTCTGTGAGTTTGCCTGTTCTTCATATAGGTGAAATCATACAGTGCGTGTCCTCTGTGTCTGATTCATTTCACTTAGCATAATATTTTCAAGGTCCATCATGTTAGAGCATCTGTCAAAGTTTACTTTTTTTATGGCTGAGCAATACTCCATTGGAGGACTATACCACATTTTGTTTTTCCATTCATTTAATGAACACTTGGTGTGATAATTTTTCATCAATTTGAGTAAATCAACCACTGCTTTGTGGCCACCAAGATTTGTGATGAAAAATTTGCTGGTAATCTTATTGACTATTCCTTGTGTGTGACAAGTCTTTTGTTCTACTTTTCAAGAATCCCTTTGTTTTAGCCTTTTGACAGCTTGATTATAATGTATCTTGGTGTGTCCGTGAGTCTATTCTACCTGAAGTTTATTGAACTTCTTGGATTTGTAGATTTGTGTCTTTTACAAAATTTTTGAAGTTTTCACTCATTTTAAGTTCACTGTTTCTTTCTTGTGCCTGTTTAAACATGCTTTTGAACTCCTCTAAGGAATTTTCACTTCAAATGTTGTACTACAATATATATTGTTTTCCTGTCTTCGTCTGCATCTTTCTTTAGTTCTTGGAGCAGCTTTCAGTTGTCTTAGTCTAGCAAGTCTGCTGTCTATGCTTCCTCAGTGACGATTTTTTGTGACTTTGTTGAAAAGTGAACATTGGACCCTTATAATGTAACTCTGGAAATCAGATTCTCCCCAGATGTTTGGTTTATTTTTTCACTTGTGAGAAGTGTCTCTAAACAGCCTAAGGTAAAAAAGCTTGCGGTTTTTGCGGGTCTTTCCTGAGCCTGGTCTCTCCGCGGGTAGAGGAGCTTGCTAACACACATTATCTCACCGTTTCCATGGATCAGGACTCCTAGCACAGCTCCCTTTGGTCCTGCGCCCTGCGCCCTGGGGCTCTGGGGCTGCACAGAGAAGACCCTCTCCAGCCCTCGGGTTGTTGGCAGATTCATTTTCTTGCAGGTTTGTGACTAAGGGTCCCGGTTTCTTATTAGTTTTTGGCTGTGAACCAATCTTCAGTTCATAGATGCAGTTGCTTTTGAATATCCTAGTCCTCCCATGTCCGGCTCCCCAAAGGGGGGAAAGAATAGAACAGCTGAGTCTATAAGCCCCTTGGAAGCTTCTTCACCTGGTGGGGGAGCAACATGCTGCCTGTCCGTGTGTCTGCGCCTCCCGGGTCAAAAGCAGCCATCAGAACGCAGAACCCAAGGCTTGGAGGACAAGGTCCTTATTTCCTACTCAGGCTCCAGCGAGGTGCACCGAGAGCGCAGGCGTGGCCCCCTGCCGGGCGGGGGGGGGGGGGGGGGCAGCCACGACTGCACTCAAAGCCACCAAAGCTCAAACAGCCTCCGAGTTCCAAAACCATCCCATCAGGTTCTGCAGCTGCTCCTTCTGTCCGAACGAGAGTGGCCCCACCGCCCTGTGGTCAGGGGTCCAGCCGGTCCCCCCTCCGCGTCCCCGTGTCTGTGGGCTGGGCCCGTGCTCTGCCGTCTCCAGGTGGAGCTCATGGGGTTTTCTACTCTCCCAGCCACGATGCTGTCAGGTTTCCAAACAAGTCGGTGTGCCTGCCTGTGTCCCCGCAGCTGCCCTGCCACTATCGTGATGGCTTTTTAAAAGCCTGCTCTCTTGGAACATCCTCTCCTCCACCACAAACACTGGCCCTCGCACAGCTCCCCCGCCTTCAGTGTCTCACCGGCGACGGGATGCAGATGCGCACACACCTACAGGTTGCTTCTCCTTGCCGATGCCCTCAAGAGGCAGGTGGCGTCACTGAGAGCAGAGGTGGCACGTGGGGTTGAACTCTGACTTTGTAAGATGATCTTGCACATGTGACCTAGCCTGTGCCTCAACTTACTCTTTTGTAAAATGTGGACCATTTTCTCCCCAGAACGTTGCACCACTTCAGTGGTTCCTCAGTGAAGTGCGGGAAGCCTGGCCCGGTTCAGACCCAGAGCTCTGGGCAGACACAGCCCTGGCCGCGACCTCCCTGGAGACGGGGCAGTGGGGTCCGGAGTTTGAATCTGCTCCAGTCCGCAGCTGTGTGACGGGATGGACGGCTGTGAGCGTGGGAGGTGGCGGAGGGCAGCATTGCTTAACTCTTGAGCCTCCATTTCCTTACCCAGAATTAGATTAAATGAGTCAACTGGTACAGCAACACATGACTCTCAAAAGAGAATCAGACGAGATGACAATGTCGGAACAGGCTCCCCTTCTGGGGAGGGTGTCTGGGCAGGGCCTTGGTCTGGGCGGCAGTAAGTGCGTGAACAACGTCCACAAGTTATTAAATCCCCAACAGGTGTCACTGGTCGGCACAAACAGGAAGGTGCGGCGTGAATCACAGCGTGTACCGTGGACGAATACAGCGTCATGTGCCGATTGTATTCAACGAGACTGGAGAAAACCCACAAACTTCTGTAAGAAACTGGAAGTTTGAAATCATTTCTAATGTATCAATGGGATTCCTGAAAGTTACAGGATCTTCTGGGATTAAAAAAAGACAGGACCTTTAGCCGCAGGCCCGTGCACCTCCGCCCTCCGGGGGAGCACCCTCCGAGGGAGCGGCCGCCACTGAGCGCACCTCTGGGAGAACCTGCACCGTCTCCCATTCCCTTATAACTCAACATCGTTTCCAGATGCCCTGGCAGCTCAGGCAGGAGCTCCCTGAGATAAGCTATGGACTCCACTGAAAATTCAATCAAGAACAAACTCCCTGCGAGGAGAGAACTTCTCCAGAGCCACGCAAAAGGCCGAGAGCGGGGAGTCTGCAGAGACAGACGTTCCGTGGGACAAAGCCTCGGTGGCACCGCCAAGGCGGCCTTGGGAGCCGCCGGGGAGCCGCCATCCCGAGGGGGAGGGATGCATGCTCAGGGAGGGGTTTCAGAAGGAAGTCAGACTTGAACCTACGTCCCTGCTGTTTGAGGTGGTGCCTCTGGCAGAGGCCTGACAGTCCTGAGGACCCAGGTTCCTGAGGAAGGAGCACTGGGCTGTGATGGTGCCGGGACCCAGGGCGGTGCCCAGGGCGGACCCACAGCCCCGCAGGCTCAGGTCCTCTGGGTCCATCACCTGTGTCCCCAGTGGCCAGGCAGAGCCCGGCGCCGAGGCCGGGTCCTCCCCTCAGACATTCAGGACCTGGAAGGGCCCCTCCCCCAGGAACCCTCCTTCCACAGCCTCCTTGGCCCCACACACTCCACCCACAGACACGTCTGCTCCGCGCTGGGTCCCGCCGTCCGCACAGCCGGGCACAGGACCGCCTCCCTGGCGCCAGGACAGACCAGAGCCCCCGGGCTCCCTCCGGAGCTCTCCCTCTCCTTCAGCTTCATGCTTTTCGTTTAGAGGTGATACGTGGTTCAGATTAGAGTCTGTGCAGAACTCTAGAGTAATGATGATAGCGGATTCGAATGTGAATCTTATTCTGTTTGCTCATACAGAAGTGTTACTACTAAGTCCACTAAAGGAACCCACAATACAGCAACAACTTTCTGTCTTCTGAAATAATTTTGACCATTTTCTCTTTTAGTTTTATTGCTTTTATGGAAGTGATTACACAGTAGCTCAAATGAAAGCTTCATAATGCTATAATTTTTAGGATATGATTTATAAATGCACAGTCATAAAATGTGATCTTATTACAAACTTATTTCCATCTTATTTGGCCTCTGGCTAGTGTAAAGACATATTTTTGTTTTGCTACTTAAGTGTATTCTGTTGGCCCAGGAAAAGAACAATTTCTTGTCTCTCTTCTAAAATAATGTTGCATTTTCTCATTTCGTTTCACTTGCCTACACAGCAGCATAGTTTGGGGAAACTGGCCACTTGTTCTCTGTCCCCTTTCCAAACCAGAGAGAGCAAAGCAGACAGAATATAAGTTCATAGAGAGAAAAACCTAAGAAATGCATATCAAAAAGCTGTTAGAATGCAAAGCAGACAGAATGTAAGCTCATATAGAGAAAAACCTACCGTAAGGAGACTTTTCACGCATTTTCATCTACTCACCCCCAATGGCACGAGACAATGTTACTCCTGATAAGAACACATGTAACCACCAATTTATACCATACACAAGAATAAACTCAAAATTGATAAAAGATTTATATGTGAGACATGAAACCATTAAAATCCTAGAAAAACCATGGGTAGTAAAATCTCAGACATCTCTCATAGCAATATGCTAATGGATACATCTTCTAGGGCAAAGGAAGCTATGGAGAAAATAAACAAATGGAACTACATCAAAATAAAAGCTTCTGCACAGCAAAAGAAACCATCACCAAAATGAAAAGGGAGCCCAATACATGGAAAACATATTTGCCAATAA